AAAGCACATATTGGAACGTTCTTCTCAGTTTTGAACAGATTTGCAATCAACACATGTATTATTGATGGAAATTTAGGAGTAGATGTCTATTTTTATAATGCGTAATTTGCAAAGAATGCTTAGTCAGCTAGCTTTTATTGGGATACTTAGCACTTATATTTGATATCATAATGAGAAAATTTCGTATTACATTGCTAAACTAGAACTAGTGATTTCCCTAGAGCCTCCTTTACTGCAAAAGCTGTTAATTATCGTTGACGTGAGACTGATTGAATTGATCTCTTTGCTTTAATTCAATCTTCACTTGAAAATCCTTTTACTATTTGCTCATTTGCAGTAATATGCGAATCCACGCAATCCTTTTGTTCTTATTTGGAATTGTCGCTGGAGCCTTCGGCTTGTTTCGATCATCAATGAGGGTAAGTTAGAACATTATTGTTTTTATTAAAATGTGTATTTTGTAATTTCAGGGAATCGCAACTGTTGACGAAAATACCGGCGACATCGTCTGGATACCCATGCCTGGTGATATAGCGAGAAATCCGATAGCCAACAAGAGATTGTAGGTAGATACTCAACTTTTTTGGTATCATTTTTCTAGTTATGAATGACAAAGAAACTCAGAAGCAAAGATGCCGTTTCCCTTTTTACATAAGATTTCATGAAAAGTTAACAGCCTCTTACTTGACTTCGTAGTTTTAGACTAGATATCTTTTCGGTAATCAGAAAAGTATTAACAACCCTTTCCTCTTCTGAATTTATAAAGAGTTCCTTTTGATTCTTTTTTGTCTAGTTTCCTCCTTTCAGTTGCGTTTTCTGTAGAGCATACGAGAGGAAATGAAGAGAGAAGCATTGTTTGCCCATTGTATTATCTGCGTTAATAATAAATGTTATTACCTTGCTATTTATTGTTTTTCTCTGAGAAATAATATTCGAAGTATGCTGAGAATAATCTTATGATAGAAGTTAATCTTGGCCTGTCGGACAACGCCTGTTGAGATGAATAATTTGTAAAAACGATGCGTTAATACCAGATTCGAACAAAAAATTTTCCCTAGCAATGCTAACTGCAGTGAGTTCTAAATCCCTCCACTACCTTCATGTACATCAAGTCGATTACGGTAAAATCGCGTTTCTGAGTAATGTTGGCCGCGACAGATTCAAAATAGGGCGCAACCTAATCTGTACTCAAG